CTCAGTGAGAGGGTCTTGTGTTCACCTGAGTTCGGCGCATCTGTCCTGCCTCCTCCGCTGGGTGACGTCACCTCAGCCAGAAGTTTGTCCTCGCGCTGTTAGGGCTCAGACTGCTGAAGACATATGTAAGAGGAGGAGCTGTCAAAGTTGGACTTTCTCAGAGAAAGAAGTGGGGGGAAAGTATTCTGCTCCACCTGGGACGGAAATAAAAGTCCTCGTTTCAGTCGGAAGAGCGCGTCTTGTCGACATGGAGTGACTCCTTCTCATCCAGGAGCGTCGGAAAACAAACAAACAACCAGAGACGATGGCAGCTCGGTTTCTCTCTTGGATCAGCCTCACCTTTCTGCTCTGCTCGGGCTCCTGTGTTCTGGCGGAAAAGAAAGGTACGTGAGAGCAGTTTTTTTGCCTTTTTTCCCCCCACTTTCCCCTCTGTTTTTGGCTTTGCCCTACATTTCCATAAATCTGAGAGAAACCTCGAGCCTGGCCACGAAGCCGCACAGAGGGAGAGAGAAACTTGATCCTGCAAGGAGGGAGAAAAAAAGTTTCTCACAGTCCCGCTGTTCACTCCGTGACCTGCTTAAAGCATTCAAATAATGAAGCAAGGCTGAAAACAAGTTTATTTCACAGTGGAAGTAGCGGGTAATGAGCAGAATGCACGCGCATGCGCGATGCGGGATTAATTGGCCAATTAGTTAATTAGGCAAATGAGCATCTTTGTCAAGAGGATCCGAGTTTGCTCCACACTGATGATGATGATGATGATGAGGTGGATGTTGATTGAGCAATTTTCTGACATGATCCCCTTCTTTCCCCCTAAATTTCTTCTATATTATATTTATTTATGAATCAATTAGTGACCCATCACATCGAAATGAGGATTAAGTCAAATTTGGACAAAATGACCTAATTACATTTTCAGATTCCTGCTTTAAAAGCTACGTTTTAATACCTGGATCATTTTGATATCATAAGCTTTTCCAGAGATATGACTTCATTTGTCTTGTTGGTTACGATAATACATTACTATTTGGTCTGAATCATAATTTTATGTAAATTTATTGAGTAATTTTTTTATGTCAATATAAAGAGGAAACCTCAAAAATTATTTATATATTAAGATTTCCCAGTTGGAAAGAAACAAAAACATTACTAGCTCACAGGGAATAATTCAAAATTTCAACGTGTTTTTCCTTCAAATCAGGTGTTTTTTTTTTTGTTTGTTTGTTTTTTTGTTGCTACTGCATAAAAAATGCTTCAATTTTTTTAGGATTATATTTCAAACAGTTCATTCAAATGATACATTGATAGGGCATTAATTCATGATATTTTGACAAAATGAAAAATTTGCACACTTTTAAACCAAAACTTTATCTGTCTATTTCTCCACATTCCACTTTTGGACTTAATCCTGGTTTCGATGTGATGGGTCACTTTAAAAAGCAATTACTTTTTCTGTGTTTGTTTGTTTGTCTTCATATAAATTGAACTTCTGTCACTTAGGGGTTCTTTTTTTTTACTTTTTGAACATCTAGTTACACAAAATTTATAGAAAAAAACTTCAAAAACAAGTTTGTCTTCAAATTTCTTGCAAAAAAGAAATTTGGCAAACATTTAAACTGATAAAAGCATGACATTTTATGGTTATCTTGACTTCTTCTCGCTCTTCGGATACGATACAGTTTGTAGAAAAATCTTGGGATTTAAAACCTTAGTCAGATTCAGTCCACGTTTGCGTGACTCAGGCCTCCTGGAGCTGCAGATGTAGGAGAGAGAGTGACCAGGATCACTTTAGTCCCTAATGATTGGAGCTTCCGATTCTCTTGGATCATAATTGTGTGCACTGATTGCTGCTCAGCGCTCTTCTTCCTCATCAGCAGAGAAGACACATGTGTTCAGCACCAGCAGCACACGTGACACTTCCTCTGACTGCCGATCCTCAGTAATGGTTCTCTGCAGACACACACCAAATCAAAAGTGTTTGTTTGCTAAAGAGAGACAGTGCAGGCTCGGTGGACTACTGAACAAATCAGTTTTCTGTTTTTATTTTTGGCCAAAGATGCTGAGACACCAATTTGTTTGCATTTTCTGATTCATGATTTGTTTCTCTCTCACTGTCCAACACGATATAGACGTTTTTGACTTTGGGGATGTTCATAATAAGTTTTGTGTCAGAACAGAATAAAGATTTGTGGGGTTTATTCATCCAGGCTTACATCCAGGTATGTTCAATAATTTGTTGCTATAAGTGCTGCTTCAGTCTAAATAACAAAAAGAAAAAAAATAGTATAGGTCCTCTGGACGGGTTCTTCTCTAATGAAACGTTTCGTCTCTCCTCCAAGAGACTTCTTCAGTCTGAGAGTTTCAGGCAAAATTCAGGCTTTTAAGCACTGCCGGACTGCGACCAGTTATACATCGGGGAAACAAAGCAGCCACTGTTCAAAAGAATGTCTCAACACAGACG